ATAGGTACAGAGGAAAGCTCATGAGGTTGCCATGCCGAGTCGACACTTAATCATTGAACAAAATCAAAATGAAAGAAATCAGAAAAAATAAAGTCCCATGTGTGTGTTTGTCACTATGTATATACCTCTTGGTATCTACCAGAAAAAGTTACTTCTTATTATAGAATTTCATGAAATGTGTTCTATGGATCATACATAGAAACAAATATAAAAAGGAAGGAAGATGTACAACAAATGTAAAAAAGGAGAACGAAGAAATAAACCTAAAGATATGCTAATTTAAATTTAAAAACAGGTTTGCTAGATGTCATTCAGAAAGCAGAGATCTAGATGATTGACTGATGTTGTCCATGTGACAGCTTGGTGGTGACCCAAATGGGTTCCATGTATTTGCTTTATCATCCTCTCTTCATGTAGCAGATTCAGGTTGGCACCCTGGTTGCCTTGTTTATAGAATATCATGATATATAATTTTTTTATGATAAGCAACGAAACTTTATTCAATAAGAGGGAAATTACATCAATGATCAAGAGTTTTGAGGAAACAAAACTATCTCACAAAAATACAAAAACAACCCATTTTCAAACCACAACAACCATAAGATAGATGTTTTGCAGATACATTTAAAGACTTCTCTCCTGTTTTAGGGCTTGCTTTCTATAGATCCTATAGATCGTGAAACTGCAGCTTCTTCTCTCAAGAGTGAGGTATGAGGTTCTTCAGAATGTGGGCCTACAAAGTAGAAGTCAATCTATGCTTTTACCCGCATCATGTTTTTCAGTTTTTTTTTCATTTGGTTTATTCTTTTTATTGTTGAGGTTTATTGATCTTCACCTATTAAGATAGGATAGGAAAGAATCATAACAGGTATGTTCATGCTAAAATGATAAAGCATTAGGTAGGTAATGCATTTCTCCTGAGCAGCAGGGGTGTTATTTTTGGACTGTAGGTAACCACAACTTGTTATTAGACTAACAAATACAGTTCAAACAAGAGGACAGAGAACAGTTTTTAAGTTAAAAAGGGTTGAATCCCATTCTATTACCAGAACAGAACATTGTAGTTAACAACCTGAATCAAATCCCTCCTCAACTTATTTAGTGTAGGATAACATTTGACAAAAGCAAAGGACATCTTGAAGCAGTGAAAAGATGGAATACTTCCAAAAATATTTTAATTGATAAAGCAATGATTAAAAAGACAGATTTGGAATGACACTACCAACCTTGTCCACATGGTAAACTAATAAAAGGACCATTATCCAATGTTGATCCCAACTATCCAGAATGTTGGAAGGGGTGTACTGGATATGGACTTAACCTTTTGGCATTTTGTGCAGTTTGCACAAAGTGGTCATTCCCAGACTTGAACTCATTCTCTCATACTCATCGGCCCAAGATTTTACCATTGCACCAAAAGTAAAGAGGCATATCCTTTTTATCATGTTAATAAATATATAGAGTTTTACTTGTAATCTTTGTATGTACTAATATCTAATACATAGTTATTAAACCTTAATTTTCCCATCAACCCATACTATCGAAAAAAAAAGGAACCAGGCCCCTAGAAGAGGATAAAGATCACCAATTTGTGCCATTGAATGGATCACACAAAACATTAAAATTGAAATTGCACCTATTATCAAATGATGTGAAGGAATTTGATTTTTTTTTTATTTTACCTTGGCTTCAATTTATCATCTAAATAACATTAATTGCTTAAATATCATGTATGATTAGAATTTCAAATTCATCATGTAGGTAAGATCAGCCTTAAGCCACACCTTCAATGATATAAAAAATCATATGGCAGTCCATTTTTCTTTCTCCATTTTCATCTTTTTCACATCTTCAAATAGAGGGAAAAGTAGATAGTTGTAAATAAAATATACAATTTTGATTCATTTGATTTTCTTTTTCTTATCAAAGAACTACAACCCATGTGACGATCTCTTGTTGTTAATCACACCTTCAATGATATCAAACTCTTCTAGCAATCCATTTTCTTAATCAATTTTCATCTATTTCACATCTTCAAACAAAGTGAGAGGTAGGTAGGTGTAGATAAAATACATGATTTTGTTTCATTTGATTTTCTTCTTGTTATCAAAGAACTACAACCCATGTGGCAATTTCTCTTGTTGTAAAGAATTCAACAAGTTGATGTGGAATGCCCAATGGAACTAGTTTGTTCTTGGAAAACTTAATATATTCTTACTTTATTTCCCATAATAATTTTTGAGTGGGATCTGCTACTTATAACCAATTTTTTAGTGCCAATTTTTGTACTAAGAGATCATGGTTAGAGGCAATTGTCTTCTTATCAGAATCATACTTTTTTAATATTCACTTCCTTAATTATTACTTCATGTTTGAAAAGTACATAACATTGAACTTCTATTTATGTCTTCTAAAAGGAAATTCTGTTTGATATCTCCAAATGGATCAATTTGGTTTTCTATATATCAACAAGTCACTTTATCCTATGCTTCCCTTCTATGAGCTTGTAATGCTTAAGAGGCTTGTACAGATTGCATATCTTTCTCAACCTTATCATGCTCCTTTGGTTTATAATTTTGATAGAAAATAATTACTAAAAAATTATGTTTTCATATTTTACACTATGTTCTTCAATAGGGGCGATCATGAGCTAGATTCCAGGCCTATGATTATTTATAAAATATTAAATATATGGAATATTTTATATAATATATCATATATATGTGGCCTAGACAAGCCCTAAAGGGCATGAGCCCAAGCCCGGCCCAAGAATTTGTGAGCTTGAGCTCAGGTTGGGGCTGAATACAAAACCTAGGCCGAAGCCTATGCCTCATTGAAAATGGTCTCTCTTATTATTGAACCTGAATTACGTATATACAAACAATTTAAAAGTTAAGAAGCAAGTGTCTTTTTCACCTATTCTTTAACTGGGAGGCCAGGTGTCTTTCACCTTATATAACAACCTTAATCCCTATTTAATCTCTTTGGAGGAACGCAATGGCCCATTCATTCTTTAGAGAAAAGGTTTTTTAGGCAATCACAGTTCATAGTAAAGAGAGAAGAAAACGAAAAGTTCCATGGAGAGAAAGAAAGAAAAATGAAAGAGAAAGAATATTTTTCTCACAAGTAGGTGAGGGGAAGTCTTTCTTGTAAATGTCTTCTATATGATATTTCATATTCTTCCTTCTTTCTTTCATTCAATTTCCAAATTTTACTTGTTAAGAAAAATAATAGAGGAAAAGAAACCATCTACAATTAAGTGTTTCTACTTGATTATGGCTCCCTTAAAATGCAAACTTAAGAATAGAGGGCAAGGATTTAAATATCGATATGATACGTTTGATATGGGGTGTATCGTAACGGTATCAATACAGGATATGCACCGAATAGAAGTGTATCCCGTCAATCGTTCTTATCGAACGGATACGGATGTGTATCGGCCTGTACCGTATTGTATTGGTCGATGCATAGCGATACAGGTCGATACGCGTTGCGTCAATTCAGTGATCTCCATAAAAACATGAATGAGGTGATTCAAAGTCGGGTCACAGGCGCGTTTAACAGTCGTTGCATTTCCAAACCAATAAGTCACACTTCATTTCGTGATATAAAGTAAAACAAAATAAATTTTATTAACTTTTTTCTGTTCACATGCAATTTAAATAAAAAGCACATATTTATATTTAACAACTCTAACTAAAAATTAAAAAATAATACTTAAAAATAGTATTTTATAAACTAATAGAATAAATAATGTATCAAATCCACATTTATACAAAAAAATGATTTTTAATATCAAGAAATTTATACCAATAGAATATTAATAATAAAATAATTATTTTAATAATTAAAATTTATAAATTTGCACATGATATAAATCTTAAAATTTTTATATACTTTTATTAGTTATTAACTAATATTTTAATTTACATTAATAAGTAATAACAACATATTTATTATTTACAAAAAGATAAAAATATTATATACAAAATATTGAAGAATATAATATTAAATTGAATCTTTCAAATCCACTAATCTACATTTATTTCAAAAAATGATTTTTTATTTCATAAAATTTATATAAATAAAAATATTAATAATGGAATAATTATTTTAGTAATTAAAAACTATGAATTTATATATGATATGCATCTTAGAAATTTTAACAAATTTGATATACTTTAAGTTAAGATTATATTTTTATAAATTATTAATTGATATTTTGATTTGCACTTGAAAACTTAATATTTAGTTGACTTTTTCTTAATGTTAAAAAATTAAATAGTAAAATAAAAAATAATTGATATAATAATTAAATATAATAGGTGCATATGTTTAGTGTCTTGGACTCTTGATCGATGCATTATAAATAAAATTATGCATCACGGTTCATTAGTGTATCCATGTGTTTCCATTTTTTTCATCCGTATTCATGTGTTTCCAAAGCGTATCCGTATCCGAGTTGACCGATACCATACCCGATACCAATACTGATACTTTAATCCTTGAGCGAGGGATAAAAGTCATCTATTGTCTGATGTTTAATCTGATTGATTTCGATTCTCTTTCATGTGCAACATCTAAAAGGTGATGTCATCTACAATCAGATTATAAAATTTTTAGATTGTATTTTGTATTTCTTATTCCTATAAATTTGAGATATATAAGGAAATATAAATAGTACTCTCTTTTTAACAATTCTACATTTCTTTACTATTTCTTTTATGTATTCATTTCAAAGGTATTCCCTCCTCCCTTGTAGGGATACAGTTAAGGGGAACTATCTATATGACTCCTTGAATGGACCTCACCAAAAATACGAGTGAACTATGTTCCATGAGATTTTTTTCTCTTTTTAATTTTTCATACAATAGAATACAAAAAAAAAGGACACAATCTTCATCTTCGAAATTAGGTAGTCCACTAAGCAAGAAACTATTGGAAGGCAATCGGTATGACACTTTCTGCTAACCATCATGCATGCTCCAATAGTTGAAGTTTTACCATCTTAGTTTTGCTGGGAAGTACTGTAACAACAATTCAAAAAGGTGGTAAGAAAATATAGAAGAAGAAGAAGAAGAAGAAGAAGAAAAGAAGATATATCAATTGATACCTTGTCAATGAGAGATAGATAGTATGGCTTGACTTTTTCAACATCAGTTCGAACCTTGCTCTTACTATAAAGATCATACTTACTGTAAATAAAATGAAAGTGCAAAAGTAATATTAATACCCTCTATAAAAGAAGAGATCACATCCCCGCCGCACAACGCCCCACAGCACATTCCCACCATGTATTAAGAATATCTCCAGATGATGACATCATCGGTTCTGGTATTATCATCGGGAGATGTTCCCAATGCACGATGGAGATGTGCTGTGGAGCATTGTGGGGCGGTCCCTTGTGGGGCAGAGATGTGAACTCATAAAAGAATTCTTGTTAAATAAATTGAGGGGCTATGTTTTACTTGAAAATGTGAAGCCACTTCAAATTCTCAACATCTTGCTCATTCATTAGGTGTCTGTATGCTCCATAAGTATGTAAAGCTGCAATTTCAAAAGTTGCAAATAAGACTTTTCCTTATCATGAGCTTGTTACAAATTAAACCACTCACAAAAAATAATAATCTTTATCAATAATTACATTACAACAATTAGAAAAAGAAAAGCTATCATCACACTTACGGTAGAAAGAATGGTATCTGATGATGAAAAGTGCAGCTGATGGTAGAGTTGTCTTATTCTCCTTGGCCACCTAAAAGGAGGTCTGTTGTTAAATTTTACTCTTCTCTTAGGTTATGTTTAGTTTGAAGGAAAATATAGGGAAATGAAGAGAAAGGTAGGGAAACCTTTACAGCCATTGTATTGGTTTTCCTGTCTTTTCCTTCTTTTCTCTACCTTTTCCTTCAAACCAAACATAGCCTTAGGAAAAATGGTGCATTCCTAAAATGGAATTAATGGAAAACAATCCTTAGCCACCTAAAAGATTTAGAATGGAATCGAGATAGTACCAAGTACATATAGTCATCATGTCCCCATGACATCATTACATTGTCAAGCCCACATTCCTCTGAGTAAATTCCATTTTTGGTGTTGTAATCAGGGTTATTGTAGTCTGGATTGTCCTTAAAGTACTGTGTAGTAATTCCACAATATTTCAAATAAAAGCATGTCAGTTTCTGATTTTTAGCAAATTAAATGAAATATCTAATTGGGTTTTCAAGCTATAATTTTAAGAACAATGACCTTGTGATGAACATTTGATTCATGGAAAGCGCATCCAACAGGGAATGTGTCACCTGCAATACATTCCATTAAGTAGTTTGAAGCAAGAAATGAGAAAAAAAATATTCCTATTTGACAATAAACTACAATAATTGAATTGTGATTCTCACCTACAACAGCCCATTGAGGAAGAGCACCAAAGCTAGGATGAAGAAGAACCTTCCCTAAATCTGGACTCCATAATAATGAGTCAAACTTTCTTTGTATAAATTTAGATAATAAAAGATAAAAGAGAACCCATAATTTATTATGTTCAAATTAATTTCTTGCGAATCTAAGGGTTGCCTTGAGCCCCAAATTTAACTTAGGGCCTCAACAAACAAATATTTATTTTTTGAGTATTATCTAAAACTTACCATGACTTTACATTTTCTTAAACTCACCATGACTTTTCAAAACCTCTAGAGAGCTAGCCCCTAGTGATTGAGTTTTATTGTTGAAAATCCACCTTCCATTAAGATTTATTTATGTTAGATCACCGTTAGTGACCACTAATACAAGTTGCCCATAAAGGCATTTAAGTATTTTACAAGTCCAAACTACCCCTAAATGGCCAGTTAACCTTATTAAATATTTCTATAACAAAGTTACCCCTAAAATGGCTGGCCAACCTTATTTAATACTTCAAGCTTAAAATTACAAGCCCAGTGTGGGGCCAGGCCCAAGTCAGGGGCAATTTTGTCATAAAAATATGTAATAAGCTTGACTGTCCATTTAGGGGTAGTTTGGTCATGTAAAATACTTAAATGCTTACATTAACAACTTTTATTAATGGTCGCTAACAGTGATCTGATGAAAATCTTAACAGAAGGTGAGAGTTTTGGACAATAAAACTCAATGATTGGGGGGCTTTTTGCATGTTTTGAAAAGTTATAGTGAGTTTAAGAAAAATATAAAAAAAGTCATGGTAAGTTTTAAGATAACATCCCTTTATTTTTATGTGGTAGGTCATGCTCAGAAAGCTTCATTCACAAGGAAGAAGTCTTGCAACAAAATTAATTACGGGTATAAATGAGAAATCAGAGTGGGATATATACCATGAATAAGGGCTGTCAAGTGCAACCAATCTTCATTAGGATAGTCCTTTCTGATAGCTTCAGCTGTCTGCAATAGGTGCTCAATCTGAGGTTCATCAAGGTCTGGATCACTCTCATCCACAAACTCATTGAGAAGTTCACAACATTCCCATATGCTCATTTCAGCCCTGTTTAGTTTACCATATTCTTGCCTCATTCTCTTTACCTATGGCAAGAGTTAAGACCTTGATTCAGAGGTTCTCAAAACTATAGGAAAAATCACTCAAAATGGTCAACTAGGGGTGTAAGTGTCTCAGGCTAGGTCTAATTTAAGCTCAACTTAGGCCCAACACTAGGAATTGCGTAAGAGCTAAGCCCGGACTGAACTTGAGGCCAAGGTTGATCTGTCCAATCCAAATCCAGCCCACAATGAAATTTGATCCACACAAGTTGGGCTTGGGCTCGGATTGGTCAATCAATCCACACTAAAATTTGATATAAATATGAATATATATATATATATATATATATATATATATATATATATATATATATAGATAAGTAGTTTGAGTGGGCTAATGCTACCTAAGGGCTAGGTCTAGGCCCAGTCCAAAAATAAAAACCCAAACTTTTGGGCCCACGCCCAGCCCACATACCAAAAATGCAAGCCCATCCCATGTAAAACTGTGGGGTGGGTTGATCAGGGCTCAGGTTTGGCCTGCCCAAATTACACCCCTATGGTCAAATAAGTGTTGCTTACGAAGTCATAAGATTGGTTAATGTGATTCATCCTGTAGAATTCTTCAACCGTCTTTTTTCTCTCACTTTCTGCGTCATAATCCCTATTCAAGCATTTTTTTTTTCCTGTCAGTTCTATCACAAAAGCAATGTAATTGAATTGTGCTAGTCTATTTTATGAAGTTGAATTTCAGACCTAAATGTATGGCCGAATGCATTGGTTTTAGGTACAACAAACCCATCATCTGAAGCCAATTCCTTGTTATCGTCACCAAGGGGGATCATCTTTTTCTCTGCTTAACATCCAAAGAAAACAAAAACTTGTCAAAATAAAAGAGCTCTTTAGTTTCAGGGTCGCAATCAACACATGCTTCAAAAAATGTCAAGAAATATCAAGAATCAAGAAAAAAGGGAGAGATCAGAGAATGAACAAGAAACCAAATGTGTGTTATGTGAGAGAGAGATATACCAAGTTCAGTTTGGTGAATAGGGAATGATGTCATTTTCCCCCAAAATTAAGACGCAAGAAGGAGAAAAAAAAGAAAGCTAAAGCAAAGGAACAGAGAAGGGTCAACGAGGGAAGGGATGTGGGTCGAAGATGATCGGAGAGAAGAGAGGAGAGAGGGTATTTATATGAACTATAAATACCCCACATAGGCGGGGAGCCTCCCGCAATGGGCTTTCATTTATAATATGCTTAGTTGAAAGGGATTAGAATTCCGTTAGAAATGAACGTTGGACATCATGGTCTTGAGGAAAAGTTTTCGCTCTGACGCAAGCCTCAGAAAACCCAAAGTCAAAAGGTACCTAGTTAGAGGTTTGATAAGAAATTCACATATAGAGAGAGACTGGATCTGCTCCTCACACAAGGCGCCTCACAAACACCTCACAAGCACAGCTCACCGTGAATTGAAAACATCTCCCGTAGTTATGTGTTATTATTTACAGGGAGATGTTTCCAATGCACAGTGTGATGTACTTGTAAGGTCCGTTGTGAGGCACCCTATGTGAGGAATGGTTCCCAATTCTATATGGAGAATGTTCCAATTTTGAGAGAGAGAGAGATTGGATAAAGATATGACTTTTTTTTTTAATGGACAAGTAATAGATGGCCACCTGTACTTACTAAATTGTTCATTGAGATTTTATGGATTGACTGCAACAAATATTAAAATGATGAAAATAACTATTTTAAAGTACAAAAGGTATTTATGATATTGAGTAACCAATCATTCCGAAGGTATTTTCAAGATGAACATTGTTTAAAGTTGAAACCTGAAATAAAGTCAAGAGAAATACGTGAGACTGAAGATTTTAGAAAAACTATTAGTTGAAAGTGAAAATTTGTCTCGTGAAACAATATAAGGGCAGTTTGGGGTTTTATAAATGTTTAAATGAATATCTATATCTATATATATACTAATATAAAAACTACAAATGAGGTCTTACATTTTTTTTTTGAAATTTGTATTCGCTAAAATACCCCCTCTTTTTGACTTTGGTCCATCTTTATTGCGAGGTCCTTAAAGGTATCTTTGTTTTTCATTATTAAATTCCACCGATTAAATCAACATATAATAATGTTAATAGTATTAAAACCTATATTTTTAATATCGATCAATTTAGAAATAGAACTATTTTTTACTGTGGTGAGTAAGCATGGGTCAACAGGGTCAACTTATGATGCCAAAATTAATTTGATTGGAGCTAAGGGCATACACTATCTAACAATTCCCACTTACACTTAGGTCCAATTGGGTACAAGCCTCAGTCTCATACTGTCCACGTGTTTCCCAAACACTTTCTATGCCAGTGGCTTAGTCAGTGGATCTGCTACATTCTCCACCGATGCTACCTTCTGAAACTGGATATCTCCGCTACTAACAATCACCCGTAGATCCAGTATTGTCACACAATATTGGAATTGGTGATATGGTAGGATTCCAAATTCTGGATGAATTTCTTCATCCATACTACTTATTAGGCAACCTCACTTATGGCAATGTGCTTGGCCTCAGTCGTGGACTATTTTTCTTATTACAAAGGGTCCCAAAGTATCTAGATATAAACTTTCTATTATGTGGGTCAGGCTGGAAGTTGGCATTAGTATAACTGACGATCTGTAGTGAACTATCATCGAAGATAAGACAATAGTCTTTAGCCCTTCGTAGGTACTTTAGTATGTTTTTTACAGCAGTCCAATGCTCTTATCCTATGTATGATTGGTATCTACTTACAATACTAATGACCTGAGCAATGTCTAGCCGAGTACACAACATAGCATGCATGATGCTCCTTATGGCTGAGGCATACGAAACCCCTCTCATGTCCTCTATCTCCTCAAGGGTCTTAGGTGACATTTCTTTGGAAAGAGTAACTCCACACCTAGAAGGAACGAATCCCTTCTTGGAGTTCTGCATGCTATATCTATTGACGATCTTGTCAATGTAATTAGATTGGAATAATCCAATTATCCTCTTCGATCTATCTCTATACAGTCGAAATCACAAGATATAAGAGACTTCTCCAAGATCTTTTATGGAGAATTGCTACGAAAGTCATACATTCACCATAGTCAACATTCCAACATCATTCCCAATGAGCAGAATGTCATCTATATACAGAATAATAAACATAACTTTATCTCCCACTTTCCTTTTGTAAACATAGGGTTCATTTGAATTCTACTCAAATCAAATTGTTTGATTGTTGAGTCAAATCTGATGTTCATCTTCTGGAAGCTTTTTTTAACCCATAAATAGATATATTCAGCTTACACACCATGTGTTTCTGACTCTTGGAAACAAAGCCTTGTAGATGTTGCATATAGATATCTTCAGTAAGATCTTCATTTAGGAACACGGTTTTGACATCCATATGCCAAATATCGTAGTCGTAGTGTGCAACTATAGCTAATAGTATCCTTATGGATTTAAGCATGGCCACTGGCGCAAAGGTCTCCTCATAATCAATTATTTCTTTCTAAGTGTAACCTTTCGCTCCAAGCCAAGCTTTATAGGTCTCAACTTTTCCATCAGAGCCCTTTTTCCTCTTGTAGATCCACTTGCAACCGATTGCTTTCATCCTAGGGGGCAGGTTTACGACAGTCCAGACTTCATTGGTTTTCACCAAGTTCATTTGACTTTCATGGCAATTACTCACTTCAAAGAATCTATATCCAACATAGCTTCCATATAAGTCATGGGATCTTCCTCACTGTTAGTAGATTCCATCAAATAACTTTCTTTATCATACCTGTCATGTATTGGAGTTCTAGAAACCCGGGTAGATCTTCTAAACTGGATGTTATTATCTAGAATCAGTGGATTATCTTCCACTACTCCCAAGCTCTCTTCATCAGGATCAACTTCCTGATGATGATTGTTCAGATATGGTTTTCCTCCATGAAATAGGCATTTTGACAAACAATCACCTTTTGTTCTTATGGGTCATAAAAGATATACCCTACGGAGTCCTTAGAGTAGCCTACAAATAGACAATGACTGGTTTTAGATTCCAATTTGTCCGCACTTGTCCTTTTGAGGACCTTTTGTCTTGTAGAATGATTTTGCTCATACATGATTTTCAAACTATCGAGGATATCTTCACAAATCTCAATTTTGTTATACTATCTTTAAATAGAATTATCCAAGGAGGCTATGACATAACACCAAGTAAGAGAATTTTTCTCTTTCCATTTTTGATATTTTCTCCTTCATACCTTAGAAGCCCTATCACCTAGACGTTCCGGTGTTGGGATTTTGGCAACCTTGTCCAATTTCTCGGACATGAGCATCAAGTTTAGGTTATGAAACCAGTATGCATAGTTGGGTTCTTTCAATTTGTTGTTATCTAACCATTTGGAGAACTGCCCATGTGCAATTTCTGATAAAAGCATAATTAATTGGTCCATGACCTTAATATTGTTTCATGTTGTCAATCGTAGAATAAACTTTTATCTATGTCTCATCTCTATTTGTTCATCTTTGAGATTTTCCTCCTATCTCAGTGATGAGGACATAGTTCATATCTCTAGAAATGTGGGAAATCACATAGGTGCATGGGGTCAATTGTTTCAGTTGCATAACCCTATCATTTTCTGCGAATGATCACATATCCACCCATCCAATGAACTTTCCCTTTGGCCTCTATCAAACAAGGTTCATTGTCATTTTATGTTAAACCTTTCTAAATGGTAAGTATAGACCCGTCATATCAGGAGCCCCAAGGTACCATGGAAGAGCCTTTCATTTTATGATAGGCCCCTCCCACAAGTTTATGACGCCCTATCATCTCATGAAACTATTTACTATCTCAGTAAAATAAATAGCCCAATTTTATGGTGCATCTCCACCCACCAATTGAGCATGTTTTCATACTAATGACGGAAGGCCTTTAGAGATATCATCTCATTGCACTCTCAACAATGGTCTCTCTCTTTCTCCCCTTGTCTTCCCGCCACCGCCGCTGCAACTCTCAGTAGCGGTGTTTCCCTCTCCCTCTCCTTCACCCTCTCTTTATCTCCCCCTATATTCTCACCACTGCCGCTACAAAGAGTTGCAACGGCGTTCGATTTCCCACACCCTCTCCCTCTCCTTCCCTCTCTCTCTTTCTCTCTCTCTCTCTCTCCTTGTCTTCCCACTGCCGCCGCTACAACTCTCAGCAACGGTGTTTCCTTCTCTCTCTCCCCTGTCTTGCCACCGTCGCTGCAACTCTTTGTAGCGGCGTTCGATTTCCCTCACCCTCTCCCTCTCCCCCTCTCTCTTTACCCCCTTGTCTTCTTGCCACCACCACTACAAATCTCACCAGCAGCATCCCCCCCTCCCTCTCTCTCTCCACCGCCGCTGCAAAGAGTTGCAACGAGATTCGATTTCTCCCACCCTCTCCCTCTTTCTCCCCCTGTCTTCCCATCACCGTCACTACAACTCTTAGTAGTGGCATTCGGGTTCTCTCTCCCTCTCCCCCTTGTCTTCCCACCACTGTCATTGCAACTCTGAGCAACAGTGTTCAAATTTTATTCTTAATAATTTATTTTTTATTTATAAATTTATATGTATTTCCAATTTTGTTCTTATTTTAATAAATTAGTTTTTATAATTTTTATTTGTATTAATTATTAATTATTTGAATTTTTTAATTATCAAATAGTTTAATAGGTTTAATTTAATAATTTGATCATTATTAACTATTTTTTTCATTGCTAAATGGACTTTATTACTATTTTCGTTATTATTTTAACTTTTAATAATTTATTTTTAATTTATAAATTTATAATTTTTTTCAGTTTTATTCTTATTTTAATAATTTTTTAATTCTTTATAATTTATCATAATTTGTTCATATTTTTTAATATTATTTTGAATTTAATAAATTATATTTTATGAAATAGTACAAATTGAACTCAAAATTACCAAATAGTATGTTTTAGGGGTAAAATAGTAAAATTAAGGAATTTTATATGCTGAAGGTTTGATCCAACAAAAACAACCTTCTTTGTCCAGAGACTCTAAAAAGTCGAAAAACATATTTGTCTCTTTTCAGATTTTAGTTGCTTAGCGGTGATAGATCCCTTATATTCTTAGACTCTCATTGTTTGTAGAGATCAGCTTGAGTGCTTACAAGACTGCACTCACACCGTTTGTATAGCCTTTTACAGCCCTATATTGAGAATATCTTCATATTTATATGTTTTTTTTTCATTCGGGGATATTCCCAATACAAGACTACAAAGGCCGTGCAGCTTAGGATACAAATTGGCTGTACATCATTTGGAACATTAAGAGCCCACCAAAGATCAAAACTTTTCTCTTCCTTCTCTTCCAAAATAAACTCCCTTAAAAAATGAAGCTTAGGAAAAGAGGTTTTGATATAGATGGATCTTGTAACTTCTACGGTGAGGAGGAAGACATAGACCATATTTTCAAATTTTGTCCTTACACGTCAAATTTGGACTATCCTTAGTCCAAATTTTCAAAATTAGCGGGTCACTAAGGATAGGGATCAAACTCTATTTGATTGGTTGGTCAGACTTTCCAAAATAAAGGGAAACAAAAATCTCCTAGTTAAAGAAAAAATCACATTAATTTTGTGGGCTATTTGGAAAAATAGAAATCAGAAAAAAATTAATAACATTGTGATCCCCCTCAAACAATTCTTGATCGAGCCCTTCTTGCCTTTATAGAAAACTTGGAAATAGAAAAGAAGCAGCCGTAGAAACTTATCACAAGATATGAAAGCCCATCTTATGGTATGCTCCATCTCAAGACAACATAAAAATCAATTTTGACGCTTCTTATATTTTAGATGGTCCTTGTACTGTTGCTTGTATTGTCTATAATCATCTTGGTGGTGTCTTGGATGTCAAAGCTGTTAAGATTGGATATTATACAATTAATCAAGGAGAAGCGTGGGCTGATTGGGAAGCCATTAAAATGCCCTGAAATCCCATCAATTCCCAATCACTATTGAAGACGACTCAAAATTGGTGATATCATGTCTCAACCAGAAGACGGAGCTCCCTTGGAAGCTGAGAAACACTATTGAGAGCTACATTAGGATGAAGAATGTTTTTTTCTGAAAGACTTATTTTTCGCCATGTCTACAAAAAAGCGAACCAGGCCATGGATTGGATGGCTCGTGAAGCTCAGATTGTTTCTTCGGATTCATTATCTTTTAGCTTTTCTACTCTCCCCCTTCTCTTCTTTTTATTTGTCTTGCTGACTTCCTAGACGCACTACCCACGGTTTGTTGTATGCTCTTTGGTTTTATTCAAAAATAAAAAAGGTCGTGCCAACAGTGTGAACAGGGTCTTGTGAGTAATGAAGCCAATCTCAATAAAACACCTTGATTGTCCATCTCTGGTAGTTTTTTATCAGTGGTCGGCACTCGGCAGATCTAAAAACCGTAGAGTAAAAGATGACGGTTCAGCCCAAGGTCAGAATTCATAGGTACAAAGTACAGTTGGGGTAGGGGCCAGCTYGGGATTGATGCCAGTTCTGCCCTTCAAGTGTTATTTAATTTTCTTTATCAACCATCTAAACGTTGACAAAAAATTTAACAGTCCCAAATCTTTGCATTTTCCATTCAAGAATGTTGGAATTACATTTGAGTGGGCATTCTGGTAACCCCAACTTTCTTGAATTAAAGAAACAAAGATTTGAGACCATTAATTTTTTGTCAATGTTTAAATGATTGATAAAGAAAATTAGATGATGCTCGAAGGGCATTTGTTTCATTTTCAAATGCCACTTAATAACCGGCTAACCGCTAATTAACAGCAGGTAGAGTACTAATTAGGAATTTTGCCTATTTTTAATTTATTTAAATTTAAATGAAGAATTTGAAACATAACCGCACGTGCGAGATTTCTATAAATGCGTCGCTGTCGCTGACATGGCGTTTTGCGCAGGAGATCGGAACTCGTCGTCTACAGGACCAAGCTACTTGGTTAGTTTTCACGTCACGTCGATCTGCCCTTCAACTTTACACGCATTATCGGCCCAACTTCGGCTTGTATTTAAATGCGCTCGATGTTCTGGTTAGAATTAAAAAATGCCGGGAAAAGGAGAGAGCCTATCTTTGAACGCGTCTGTGACAATGGCGACGCCGGAAAATAATATAGCAGAAAAAGTAGAAAGCTCGTCCGAGACGAGAGAAGAAAAGAAAAACCTTATTACATTGAGCATGAAAGAGAGAGGAGAAAGTTCTTCCTCTTACCAGTCGGAGACGATGGAGAAATTCAAGAATCTTGATATCTCGATTGAAGAAATTTCATTCTCCAAGGATTTTCTGACAATAGAGAAGTTGAAAAACCTTAGTATTCTTGATCTGATGGAAGAACAGAACAAAAACAGGCCTCGGAAGTCGGAACAACTCTCTTCGAGATCTTTCTCTCCGTGACAGCACCGAAGATAAAAAAGAATCGTTAGACCTTCCGATACAAATGCTACAATATAAAAATAAATTCGAAAATGTGCTTACACTACCGCTCCAGAACCGTTCGGAGGAAGAAAAGCCCACCGCAAAGAAGGAACAGAAAAGACGTCGTTAGTGTTATCTGGTATGCATATCTTCATAATATTATTTAGGTTGCACATGTTTTTTCATCCAAGAACCCTTGAATTCACAATTAACATTCAATATATCTCATTTTACAGGCCAGAACATGAAAAAGGCATTAGATAGAAAAAGCAAGAAGAGGATATCAGAGAAAATAAAGATGAGGATTTATTTTTTTTTTTTTAATTCTAGAAGATGAAGGATTAATCATGAATCTCGGAGGCGTGGTAGTTCTTGGTTTTGTTCTCTGTATGATTGTAGACCATGTGCTTCTCCATCCATATTGATCCGGGATTTACAATATAGATGGAGAACAGTCATGTGCTTCTCAAGAAAACAATAAGAGATCATCAGCATTAAAATCAGGGAAACAGTATATGAGTAGAATTTGTTCATTTTTTTTTTTTAATTCAAGAAGACCAGGGATTTATCATGAATCACGAAGGTTTTCTTTCATCTCTCTCACAGTAGTCTCACACACAACACAATATACCACAGATTCAATTCCTTCGATGCCAAGCACTTACTTAGTCTGAACCAAATGCCATAAAGTGAAACCTGGATCTGCTACACAAAACCTTTTTAGTTAAAATTATTATAATTAATCCGACTAGATTAATTATAAATAAGTAAGATTATTGACATGTGAGCTTAGACCAGACGGTTATTAATAATTATTTTTAACAATTAAACTGTTAATAATTATTCATTATTATAATAATTATAATTATATACTGTTAACAAATTACTATTATTACTATTACAAAATTAAATGGTTAGTAATCCGTAATTACTATTTAATAATTTATCAAGATATTACTATTTAAATAATTAATATTTTATCTGAATAATCTGAATATTACAGTAATAATTGGAATATTACTCTAATATTTATCTAAATCAATTACATAATTAAATAATTATTAATTATTAACTAATATTACTATTGACAACTGTTACAAAATTGACTAAATAATAATTACTGTTAAATTAATTATTTCTAATTAATTTTTAATGATTATTAAATGATGTTATTTAAGTTATCTGAATATTACTGTTTATTAACTTGTTAATAACTATCTGAATAATTTATTAATTTATTAATAATTATCTGAATAATTATTAAATTATATTATAATTAATTATCTGAATACCATACGAGTAAACCTGGATTCCGTATTGGAGCCCTTGATTAGCTGAATTTAATGGTTGTGTTTGGCTGCACACCGTTGTGTCTTGTGGGTTATGAACAATCATAAGTGAATACGACAGTGTTTTGTATACATTCTTCACAGTTATGTAGTTATGTGGTACAAGATGGGAATAGCAGCTGAACACAACTTTTCACCAAGCTGTTGTGGAACCAATGACCCACCGACTCAGCCACCGTGAAAAAGTGGAAGTATGTACTTTCAGGATAGAGCAAAAAAATTCCTCCACACCAATTATAAAATATTTGGGGTCCATAACCATTGGGAACATCTCCCGTGAATAATAACTAATAAGAATAGGAGATGTTCCTATTGAATGATAGGATGTACATGTGAGGTGCCTGTGAGGCGCCAAGTGTGAGGAGTAAATCCGGTCTCTTCAATGGACTATATACTTTAGGGAGTGATGGTTCAGCTCAGGGTTAGAATTTTTAGGCCCAAAGTACAGTTGGGGTGAATTCTTGGTGTATAAAGTGGGGGGTTTTTGACATTCTAGCTCTGCTGTGGAAATCAAAAACCTGCATTGGGCCAGTCCATACTTCTTCGTATATTTTATCACCGGTGTGGGGCATTATCATTCATTCCACAGTCATCATGTTAGTAAACACAATGGATGGAATTAGGGTAGGAATGGCAATGGGGCAAGGCAGAGCCAGGTTTGGATTGTCCCGTACATATTCGACCCCAAATTGAAATTGCTTGCCCCATCCCCGCCCTGAACCCCAGCAGGGCTAAAAATCTTAACCCCATCCCCATCCCCGCGGGGAACAAGGACCCTCGACTTTTTCGTGCCCTGCCTTAGTCATTCTTACTTGTATATTTATACTTTTTTTATTGAAACCTAGAACTATTTTATATTACATAATATAATATAGTATAATATAATATATAATATATTATGATATAATATACATTAGCATATATTAACAATTTTATATGTATTATGTTATATAATATAGTTGAGGTAGGGTTAGGGTCGGGGTCGGGGCGGGGTGGACAAATACCATCCCCACCCTATCTCCGACCCCCAGAATTTTGGCTTCTCCCCAAACCTGCCCCGAACCCCAACCAATGGTCAAAAAACCCGTCTCGACCTAGGTAGGGCAAGGCAGGACCCCATAGGGATGGGTCAAATTTCCATCTCTAAACTAGGGCAGCAAGTTTGGGTTGGGTTAGCCCAAACCCAACCTAAAAAAGTAGTATTGGGGTTGGATTGGGTTGAAGTTTGGGTTAGGGTTGAATTGAAAAATATGAAGCGAACTTAACTTTGACTTAGGTTAGGGTTGAGGCCTTGACGAACCTGACCTAACCCAAACCCAACTTAATTTAATATTTTCATATATAAATATCATATGTATTTATGCATGCAAGTACTTATGTATATATGTATTCACCGTTCATGTATATTCATCTCCTTGCTCAGTTACCGGAACCCTACTCTCTCCTTGACTCTCTCTCTCCCTCTCCCTTCTCAGCCTATCATTAAACCAATTCATACATTGTCAACCACTTGCAATAAGCCACATCATCAATACAAATATGATGTTATTTTCAAAAGTAGAAATCACGTTGCTATCCAATAGCCATGTGCGAGTTGCCTTCTTTCCCATCCATCTGTTACAAAGCACAACACCACCGCCCTTATTTTGGGACTCAGTTCCATCAACCAAAGCAGAGCAAACCCACCCCTATTTTGAAACTCAATTCAATCAACAAAAGGTTTGATTTCAATCTTTCATTTTTCTTTCTTACATAAAGTGTTTAGAAATATAATGGACTATATTTGGATTGCTCCTACGTTCTACTCTATCTGGATCACAGCCCCTTGCTTGCATAACCCATATTGCCCCTGTACACAACTCTCTCGATCGAGCAAAACCCAGGTATGTTTTCCATCTCCCAAATTGTTTTTATGTGTTAAATCGAAGTCGTTTTCTGGGTGAACGGGTCGGGTATGGATTCTATTAAATGATTTGTTTGTTGTTAATGTTAAACAGATATTAAACTGGTCAGTTATTCATGTCCTGAACAGGTCGGATATGAATGTTATTAAATGATTTGTTTGTTGTTAATGTTAAACAGTTATTAAACTCGTCGGTTATTCATGTCCCATGTTCCATAATTAAAAAATCATAATAATTACCAAAACCAATAATTACAAAATTATTGAACAACTGAGATTTAATGATGATTAAGAATTATTGAATAATTAAAAAGGTCAAAATTACTTTAATATAAACCACTGAATTACGTTATTGAATAAATTAAGTTAACTAAATATTTACAGATTATGTTAATGGTTATATTTAATATTTACTGATTTTTATAATTGATAATATTAAATATTATTTTCACAAATTAAATATTATAATTTATAACACTAAAAATTATAATTGTGTATTAATGTTTTCAGTCATACAATAATTTTAATATCTTATATTCAAATTTTAATACCTTATAAGTCTTAGCTACTAAATTTAGTTATTTCAGGCATTAGTATTTTTTGTAATTATAATACTTAAAATTATAACATTACTGAAAATAATTACCAAATTCTCAGAACAAAAAATAATAATTAAAATTCTGAAATTACTGACAATTACTAAATTCAACTTAATTTTTTTGAATTATTATTTTGAAATCTGAAATTTGTGAAAATGCTGAAATTAAAATAATTATTGAAAATTGGGAGAACTAATGAGAATAATTAGTAAAAATAATTACTTACATTTAGTCTGAAAATTAGTGAAATTTAAGAATTAGTGAGTTTTTGTATCCATTTGATTTTATTGTTAGATTTCGAAATTCCATTTTATTTATATAATTGAGTGAAAATACCATTTGATATTATTGTTATATTTAGAAATTCTGTTCTATTTATGTAATTAAGTGAAATATCCATTCGATCTTTGTGTTCAAGTTTGAAATTACTTTTTGTTTATGTAATTTAGAGAAACTTCTATTTGTTAGATTTTGAAAATCCATTTTATTTATATATTTTCTTGCTTATTTTGCCTATTGATATTTAGTGCTTAAACTACAATCCAATATTATAATTTGTTGATATTTACTATTTCAATTTTTGTTGATAATCTACATAAAATTTGTGACTCTATGCCATTACCCGCTTATAACTATAATGGGTTGGGTCTAACCCAAATTCGACCCTAACCCATCCAAAATTCAAATGCTTTATTCAATTAACTGGGTTAGTGAAGTTTATTGTTATTTAATAAATATATATTCTTATTTATTTTGCTTTTTTCAATTAACATAAATTATTCTTATTTTCATTTATTGTAATTATTAATTTCATTTTGCTAAATTATCCATTTATAAAAGTTAATTATTTATCAAACATTCATTTACAAATAATTAATTTAAGTAAATTTGTTACCAAAAATAATAACTTGTTTTTATTATTTTTCAAATATATTTTTTGGAAATATTGATAATTAATTTTGATCATTATATGGTAAATTTTTTTGTAATTTTTATAATTTTTAAATTAAAATGTTAGAAACTATCACTTTGTTATTGTTGTTTGATTGTTAAAATTAATTGAAAAAATACTTTTTGGGCTTTTGGAAAATTATAAATTTCGGGGTGGGAACAGGGAAATAGGGTTTCTTGTAGATAAAGGCAACTTTTTGCTTTTAATATCAAAAAGAGATAATGATTTTATATAATAACGAAAATAGGGTAAATTTTTTAAAAAATATCAAGAAAGGGCACTGCTCGTCTTCCTCCTCTTGCTCTGTATTCGTGAGAGGTTAAAGTCGTCGGCGATAACTATGCCCGCGGACGAAACAACGAAAAATAGAAACCCAGAAGCAAAGCTCTATGGCCATGGCGGACGAGAAAACGAAAACCCAAAACAACACCAGGCTGGCCATACTGGAGCTCGCCAATATCATCAACGTCCCGATGTCCCTCAATGCCATCGTCTGCCTCAAGGTCGCTGACGCCATCCAGCAAGGTAGCTCCAACGTCCCTCTCTCCGCCTCCGAGATCTTAGCATGTGTCCTCCCAACCGGTGATCCCGACAACCTCCAGTGCATCCTTCGAATGCTCACCAGCTACGATGTCTTCTCGGAGCACATCGTCGACGACTCCTCGAAGCAAATGCAGAAGGCCATGTCGAGGGTATCCGTGTCGTTCATGTTGTTCATGAAGGCGATATTAGAGAGCTACGATGGGTTCAAAGGGATGAGTGCCAAAATGTTAGAAACATTCGCATGAACAGAGAGCAGAGGAAGAAGATGAACAGCAGTGCTCTTTTTTTATATTATTTCAAAAAATTTATCCTATTATAATTATTATATAAAAATATTACTTTTTATTGATATTAAAGGCAAAAAAGTTGCCTTTATCTGCTAGAAACTCAAAATATTTTTGCCCCAAATTGGGGACAAGGTTTGCATATAATTCCTTGAACCCGATAGTAAATTAGTAAAATATCAGTAGATTTAATATTGATTTTTAAAATATTTCAAAATTTTCCTAATATTCTATAATCCTAGGATCCCATAATTTCATTTATAAAATATCCCCAACTTGTTATAATCCAATTCCTAAAATCCCCCCAAATTCCCATAATCCTTTTTGTAAAATATCAGTAAATTAGATTTTTTAGGTAGTTGCCTCACGGTGGGGAAAATTTAGTGATTTTCCATCTCCGGCAGGGAATGGGTGCCTCACCCCGAACCCGCCCCACAACTGGGATCGGGGCGGGGATGAAGTAGAGTGTCTTGACTTACTGGGGCAAGGGATAAAGAGGGGTGCCCCATCCTGTGCATTGCACAAGGCTATATATATATATGAGAAGTGGCAGTTGATTATACCAGAACATGGTGAAGAACCTAAATGGTGAACAGTGATGTAAAGAAGAAGTGAAGGAAGAAAAGGAAAACATACCTGCTATGCTTCTCAGTCAAGTTGAGAAGATGAATAGACCATGGGCCTGTTTGGTGTGTCTTTCTGCATGGTCTATCAGCTATTTATAAGCCCAACATACCATGATTCGGTCTTTTCCCATTTGGTTTGTAGTAGATCTAGCCGCCGAATGCTCAAGTCTCAAAAGATGCGAAAAGTCCATTTTGGGCTGATTTCAGGAAGCTTAAAATGGAGTTTTTTAGTATTTTTTTATTCATCTTCACGTAGAATGACACACCTAAACCAAACGATCTTATTTAGGTTGTCAAGATCTTAATACAAGAGCTCATTGCGTCTTTTGCCTATCAAAGCAAACATAAGATCTTCCCAAAAACACTTACCAAATGGCCCTACCATTTTGGGCTTTTAAGGTCTTTTTTGGGGTTCTGTCTTTTGGTCTAGCGGGCTTTAACGAGCAAAGAAAAAACACATTTTTTGTTTGTCAGACTTCCAAAAGCTGACTAGATTTTCCAAAGAGACTTGCCAAACAGGACCTTTGTCATTCCACGGAACGACCAAAGCAGCAAGTCTGTGTTGAGCAACTCGGTCATTTTCGATTCCAATTCAACCTCCCCTCCCATGTGCATCTATCATAATCGCCGACTTCCCCGGCGTTTATCCCAAACTAGCAACATCTACAGTACATAAACAGGGGACCTGGGTCGCCGACTTCCACCGATCTCCGACTTCGCCGGCGTTTAAAAGATATATATATTTAGAGGATCGGGTCTCTCTTCCATGTCCATAACAAAACCAGAAACACCTACAGAACAGGGGACGTTGGTCGCTGACGCTGTCTTCCACAGATCTCCGATTTCTCCGGCGTTAAAACGATTCGTATATTCTTTAGTCGGTCTAGCGACTCTACTTTATCTTCAAAAGATAAAAGAGTCGTGAATAACTTTGGTGTCCTGTTATATCAGGATTCAAAATCGTGAAAGATTTTCTTCCTTATTGGGCCAAAAAGGGAGAGATTGTTGAATTGCGAACCCATATTTTCTCCTGTTAGATTCCGCTTTGAGTTATATATCTAAATTGAGTGAATGGTAGAGAAGGAAGAGAGTTCATCCTCTCACGAACTATTGACGATAGACAAACTGAAAAACCTTAGTGTTCTTCAGCTCATGGAAGAAAAAAAAAAAAAAAGAAACCAGCGTCCACAAAATTTTCTTGGAGTTCTTCCCGTCCTTACTCCTCCCAAGCCAGTAAAGGACGCAGCTAAAGAAGAAGAAGCCGAAGAAAAAGAAAAGCAGAAAAATCCTCGGTGGTTCGTGTTCTCTGGTGTGCATTTGCAATCAACATTAGTGAGCTCTCATTTTAAATTTTCTACGTCACCAAAACTCAGGCATATAGGAGAGGCATTAGGTTTTACGGGTGGATTTTTTTTTTTTGTTTTTCTTGATTGATCAAGATGATGAGGTTTTCGTTCATTGTCATCTCTTTCTGACTGTAAGCACCAGATCCTAAGCATTTGATAAAACCTGCAATTTTTTTGAGTAGCAACTGGAGATTACACTTGTGCTTAGGATTACACTTGTATATCAGGAGGGGTTTCTTTTCTGTTATGATTTAATTGATAAGAGATCTAACAAAAATTTGTTCTGATCTGAATTGATAACAGATCTTGTTGGATTTTAATTTCATTAGATTATCTAATGGGGTTTGAGTGATTAATTACATGAAAATACACCTGCACATATATCTTGAAAATAGTTTTTAAATCTCACACTAAAACCAGTTTGGAACATGTTTTCTTCTTAAAAGACTTATCCCACATCCGAAAATTATTAAACATGTTTTGAGTTTTTAAATAGGAGTTTATTTACATTTTAGAATTATAAGAATAGAGTATAGAGGCTTGTTACCGTGCAATGCACGTGTATATGGCGGAATGAGGTGCTTTAGAAGTGCCCTTCGTAATTGCATTGTTTTCCGATGCAAAGTTGAATCATAACCATTGACGTTTTAAGAAAATCCAACAATCATGATTTCATTGGGTGTAGTATTCAAGAGGCATTATTTAAAAGTTAACAGTCATTAACTGTTAACTAACTTTTAACAGTCTCAAAGTTTGAAACTGTCACCGTACAAGGAGCCTTTCTTGAACCAGTACATTCCTCTTCAAGATGACTCTCCAGAAATTGTATAAAGAGTATGAATCAAGCAAATCAACACACTAGTTTTTTGAAAAATCAATTGCTACTACTTCACATAAGGCTTCTTCGGAGACTCTTTAACTTTATTGGTTACATATTCTCGTCCAAGGTACTTTTGTTTCATAGGAACGAATTTGCCTATAACCCAACAATAAACTCAATAAAACTGAATAGGGGCAAATAACATTTTAAGACAGTATCTTTAGGCACACCTCAAAGCTTTTCCTCCAAATTTCCATGACCCCAATTTCCCAACAGATCTTATCCAATCTGTATGAAATGGCAGTGATCCACTTCAACCAGCAGTGACCATTTCTAGCTCACTCAGCTCGCAAACTTCTGGGCTTGATCTGGGTTTTGTGCTCAAGCCTTGTCCACAAATTTATAGGCCAAGTTTAGGCCCAGCCCAAGACAATATATTTATATATTACTTACACTCAATGCCTGGGATAGGCTGGGCTCATAGGTGCGGCGCCCTACAAATACCATTTGTTTTGTTGTGAAGCTAATTAGGGTCACTAAGTTGAGATCATGCAACTCCTCACCCCATGAACATCCAGATGAGATCATGCAACCCGGATTATACTTTAAAGATCATTTGTTTTGTAAATACAAGGCTTTGCATTCTACATGGGTCATGTTTGGATTTTTATTTGTTGGGCTAGGTTTCGACACAAAGTACTTAATGCTTTTTTCATGTTTTCAGCTGTGTAACCCGAACTTGGACCAATCCTGGCCCTGATACATAAATACATATATCATATATTCCTATCTAATGGTTTAGATCAATTTTTAGCACGTAGACATAGAACGGCCATTAGCCCACCTATGACCTACCCAAGTGATAAACTTAGGCCAATCCCAGCATGTGTATCAAATTTCAGTTTAAGCTAAGCAGAAGAGTCTTTGGATATTGAGTCATTAATCAATCCAATATATAACAACCATAACTCTCAATTTAATGCTCATGCAATTGGAACTACAAAGGATAGACAACTCCACTCCCCTTTATGTTTTCTGCTCAGACTCTAATAGTAGTTTGATTTCTTGAGGGACATTCTTGTGGATATCCCCTGTCAAACGTATCATCTTTTGGACACTAGGAAGGACATCTCTATAAATCCTTTTGTTCATTTAATTTATTAAAACTTTAATATATAAACTCTATGTTACTCAAACTGTGGCTTGTCAAGCAGAAGACCACGGCCATGGAGATGCCAACATCTGCTGGAGGAGTGCAAGCACATTATTGAGGACCATAGACTAACCACATCAGAAAAGAAAAATAACCAAGCAGATGATCCTGGCTGACTAGCTTTGAACAAGATAGAGAATTGGCCTCTTCTTACCCTGCCTAATGGACCACTTCTTCTGTGATGCTTGGAGGAGTTCCGCTTGTTTAGTACTAAACAAGTGGACCACTTCCCGTCTTGTTTAGTATTAAAAAAAGCAAGATTCAAAATTTTGAGCGTATCATATCGTATCGGGGGCTTAACGAGATGCCCCTATAGGGGTCGTATCAGGGTGTGACCTGGTTCAGGGGTAGACCAGTATTATACCGGCTCCTTTGAACCAATTTCAAAGAAAAAAAGGGTGGGTGAGCTTTGGTACAGGCTGATACGCCCCTATCAGGGTATCGGCCTATATCGATATTATGAACCTTGTAAAAATGTTTGATGAGAATTAAGCCATGAGTCAAAATGAGGCAAACAACACTAAGGCCATGTTTGTGAGTGTTTAAATTAAAAATAAGTGTTTATCGAATAAGTCCTTCAAAACAAGTGTTTATTTGAATAAGCACTTATTTGCATTTGGCACCTAACTTTTTCAAGTGCTTATTTTTTAGAATAATCACTTATTTTATATTGGGCATTTGGTAGCCTTTTTCTCTAATAAACACTTTAATAAGCATTTGTGATTATTTTACCCTTCATTTTCTTTCAAATTTTCAAAACATACTATTTAAAAGCACTTTATTAAATTACTTATATAAAAATACTTTATGAAAGCATTTTTATAAAAAATATTTTTACAAAAACACTTTTATGAAAGCATTTTTAAAAAAGTACCTTTACGAAATGGTAATTTTAAGAAAATACTTATTTTGAATAAACACTCCCAAACATGACCTAAAATTGATTATGAGAGACA